AAAAAAAAAAAAAAAAAAAAAAAAAAAAAAAAAAAAAAAAAAAAAAAAAAAAAAAAAACTATATAAAAAAATAATAATAATAAAGAAACAAAAAAAAAAACAGAATGAAACGTACTATCTGCAAACTAGCTCTTGATAAATAAATGATTTTACACCTAAACTGGTAAAGACAAAATTTTTTGTAAATATTCCCGTCAAGCATAAATTATGATTAAGTTGCCTGCTTATTATTTTGGTTCAGCGATCAATGGAAGAAATATTTTATTCGTCTAGAAAAAATCTCCTGCAGAAATATCTGGTCTTGTAAATGACTTTTTTTTGTATTAATGTATAAATGATTCAAATGAAGGTATCAAAATTTATGGATCTCAGTGAATGTATCTGTGGTAGGTATGCATGTGTCTATATCAGGGTAAACAAAACAAAAAATAAGTACTTTTTAAGCACTCAAAAATATTTTTCAGTCCTATATACAGTAACAAAATGCAATTTTCATAGACTTTACATGTTTATGATAAAACAACTAGTTTTTGACAAATAATTCTTGTCTTGATTATATTAGCCACCATAAAAAGATCGAGAGATTTTTCGTTTTCATTTAAAAGGGTTGAAAATGAAGACTACAATTGAGAATATCTTGCAAAATGTAGCAGAGATGTACTTGAGAGTGCAACAACCTCATCAAACTCAGCTCAGTAGACGAACACGTGAACTCACAAGTATTTAATCAAACCTGTAGAATTATTGGTTCTTTCATACGCTATGGACCGATGGTAAGATGAAAATAAATAGATTGTGGTTGAATGATTGCGAAAATGTTAAATAGAACAACGTTAAAATGACGCTTTTGCATAATACGCAGCGAAAATTCACATGGAAAGAGAAAAAAATCTCATTTTTGAAAAGGGAAAATTTTGCACTTTTTAAAAACACCCAATGGAAAAAAGCACCTTCAAAGGCTTTTAAAAAACGAAAATCGAAAGTATGCACCTTTAAGAACTTTTTGAAAATGCTATGCACCATGTACATTATCAAACTGCAAAAAAACACTTTTTTATTTCACTGCGTTGGTCCCATTTTACTACAACTTTATTATTTTAAGTAGAAACAGAGAGGCCAACTTGCTCAGCTTTGTAAAAAAGTATTTTCTTAAAGTAATGAAATTATTTTTTCCACCACTATACATCAAAAATTCAAAGTACCTTAAGAAATTCTATTTCTTTGCATTTATCAAGATGACACTTTCAAAAAGTAGGTGTAATTATTTTCACTCTACAAGTTTTACTATTTAATTCGCTACCAATTTATAAAAAAAGTTTGAAGAAAGGGAAGCAGTTAGCATCTCTGTAGAAATCGTAAATAAAAAAATTGTTAAGTAACTAACATTAAATCAAACAAAATTAAAAGTGTACTTATTACATCAATGTTGCGTTACTTTTTTTAGGGAAAGAGAAGAGAAATGGTTGCAAAGTCACAATTCCCGCATCTCTACTCTATCTTTCATTTTCTACTCTATCCGGGTGTGTAGCCAAATATTTCAACAAAAAATAAGCACTTTTTAAGCACTATATACATTAACAAAATGCAAAAAAAAATTTCAAAGACTTTACAAGATCATAATAAAATAACTAGTTTCTGAAAGAACAATGTGAAAAGCACGCTTTTGCATAACATGTGGCGAAAATCGACATTGTAAAGAAAAAAAAATCTCATTTCTGAGAAAGGAAAATTAAGCACTTTTTAAAGAAGCTATGCACCATGTCTACATTATACAACAAGTAAATACTTACCAGGTAACTTCTTTGCTTTTGATAACAAAGAAAATGATGAATTTGAAGTTGCACCAGGAGATTCGGTTCGTACCTTGCGATTCTTTAAAGACTTTTTACCATCTAAAGATTTTGTTACAAAAAGACTCATTTTAATTAAAAATCACTAAAAATTTTCATATTTATCAATAGTAAAGAAATAAAAATACAGAAATAAGTAGTTATTGCAAGAATAACAAATAATTTAGTTTAGATAGATAATTTCCAATAAATTCTCAATTTAAAAAAAAAAAAAAAAAAAAAAAAAAAAAAAAAAAAAAAAGTGGCACATTCTAAAGTAATTAAAATTTAAAGTTTTATACATTTTTACTGGTATTTGAAAGTGTTTCAATACTTTTTAGAGGCTGAAGAACCCTCTTAGTTATGATTAAATTTATTTTCAAAGAATTAGTCTTTTAGACACAAAATAATGTGCTTTAAACTTAAAGCAAAACCTTCTTTTTAATTATGTTTAACTGTGCTATGTTAATATTGTGCTCTTGTGTCACCTATATTGTGATTATGTATGTATGTTTACCTATGTAGTGAAAAGAGTGGACTAGACAAATATAAACATAAAAAAAAAAAAACTTTCTCTTACTTAGACGAAAATTATTAAATTGAATAATCAATAATGCAAATTTTTTGAAATATATATATTAACAAACCAGGGTTGCCACTCAAATCTGGAGGGAAAAAAAATTCCCTGTACATATTATCAGGGGTCTGTCTAGAAATATGGATTTATGGAAATATGGATATGGAACACAAAAATATGGATTTATTGTTTCTTAAGGGATGCAAAAATAAAATTTTAAGATAAAGCATTTTGTGAAACTACCGTTTTTCCTAAAGTTGAATTAGTGAANCTGTCTAGAAATATGGATTTATGGAAATATGGATATGGAACACAAAAATATGGATTTATTGTTTCTTAAGGGATGCAAAAATAAAATTTTAAGAAAAAGCATTTTGTGAAACTATCGTTTTTCCTAAGGTTGAAATTGTGAAGGTATCGCTAAACGGTAGTAAATTCGGCCTGAACAGACCCGTGATTATACACAATATATTAAGAGAAAACAACGATTACTGTGCTCTTGTGTGAGCTATATTGGTCTAACTACAATTATCAGTTTTAATTGCAGGAAAAACAGCTGAACATACTTAAATATCTTGTAGATTACGTTTTGAGTGGTCATCATTTTTTAAAAGACAAATGTAAGAAACACAATTCCCTGTTTGTAAAGAAAAAAAAAAAAAATCAAAATTCCCTGCAATTAAAGGTGATTTTTAATTTCCTTTTATTTTCCACGTTTTCCTTGTTCTGCCTGTGGAATAGCAACCCTGCAAGCCAACTTCAGTTTCATATAAATAATAAGTTGTGACTTCATACAATAGAATCTAACAAAAAATATTGTAATTTTCACTATAAATGGCAGTGAATAAAAGGGTGAAACAAAAAATATATATATATACTCACCATTTTGAAGTACTTTTTCATGCAACTTTGTTTTAGCCAATAAAATCTCAACATTCTCTAAAAAATTATTCCTCATATCTTCCAGCTGTTCTTTCCAAGAGGACTCTATTTCATCAAAAAGAGATTTCATGTGCACATAAATGTCGTATTTGGCTCTTGTAAACTGGATATCTACACTGAGCCTGTTGCCGTCTTTTGAAGGAGTGTTCGTAGATCCAGGATCAGAAATAAGCGCAGACAGTTTGGAATCCAAAAGGCCGAGACAAGAATTGATGTCTTCATCGAAACCAGTCTTAAAATCTGCAGCGTGCTGTCTTAAGACCTCAAAGGGTCTAGAATCTTCAGGAACAGACATGATTAAAATGAAATCCTAAATAATGAAATATTGCAACATTATTTAACAGGGCAAGACTGGAAATAAATTGTTGTTCGATGGTTCAGGATCATGAATTGTATATCTCAAACAAGGTTAGGCTTTTGACGTCAAAAACCTGGCGCCCTGTGGCAGAATTTTTTCTGACTTTCTGCGACAAACCTAATTAGAACCAATAAGTTTACATTTCTTAATAAGTTTAAATTGTTTAAGTATAAATTTGCATAATCTTCGATAATAACGAAAAGTTATAAATGTATAGATCTGCAGACAAAAATGCTTACTAGAGCATAAATAAAGATTACCCAGAACCTGTAATAAGATAGAACTTATAGAAATAGCTAAGAATGGACAAAAAGATTAAATTTATAAAACAAGATAACTGAATTTGAAGTATCAGTTTAAAACAGTATGATTTAATGTTTCACTATAGTAGTTATATCAGGTACAGAAACAAATCAGGTGAAAAAATTAATATTGAAGTTGAGTAATCAAAATAATAAAATAGTATTGACTATAACCGAATTCTAAAAGCAAAAAAATTAAAGCAATGTTTGTTTCAATTTTTTCTACATCTAATTAATTTTATCTAATTAATTAGATGCGATTAATATTGTACTGACTTATTGAAAGATTTTTTTTTTAAAAAAAAGGAGGTAAATAAAACTTTTTTCGTGATCAGATTAAGTTCAGAACGAAAAAAATACACAGCGCTTGTGATTTCGCACTGTATTGTGTAAATATATAGCACTGATTCCACACGAAGTATGCAGAAGCAGTTTCCGACTCAATATGCTCAAGTCTATTCAACATCTCGAAACGAAATAGTCTTTATCAGTACTGAAACATCGGTATTAGAGCCATATTCATTGGATGCGATTTTTTTCGCATGCGTATAAAATGCTCTGTTCTCATAAAAAAACACAAAGCAAATTACTGCGCCAGCGATAGAGACCGAAGTTGGCAAATTTCCAAAAATAGCTTAATAAAGGGGAAAAAAATTCTCCCCTTTTTATCCAGTAACAGTTTGTGTTGGAGATTAACGGAGAATTACGAGCGCTTTCTCCTTCCGCGGTACGCTAGAAAAAAAAATATTTAAAACAATTCTGTAAGAAAAAAAGTTTGCAGAACCATTATTGCTTCTGCAGAATTTTTTTGTTTCTGAAGAAAATGATTTTTTTTGTTGGTAAAACAGCTTCTGTTTCTGCAGAATTTATTTTGAGAACTTTTGTTTGTGGCAAACCAAAAAATTTTATTTCCCAAATAAAAAAAATCTTTCTGCAAGAACTCAGTCGCTTTCTGCGACAATGCCGCTGTGTCGCCGTGTTTCTGCCACGGGGACCTGGCGCAAGTTTCTTTTTTGCCATTTTATTAGATACTAAATAATGCCCAATACTTGCAATGTATACTAGCACAATACTTGCATTATATACTTCTATAATTATGATTTATACTATATATCACATATAAAAATGTTTCCAGAATTATTGAAACTATTTATTACTTTTATTAGTTTTTCTAATTGTAATCTTAATACTTTAAGACCCCTATTATAGCTATTTCATTTACAGATAATAAATAAGATTTGCAATCATTATCAAAATATTGATTTTAATTATTTTCTATTACAATTCAATCTGACATTTTAGATTAAATCTGCCAATAATTAACTGATCTCAACATATATTTTTTTTAAAAATAATTCTCAAAAGTTGTTAATTATTATACTCAGGAGAGCAGAATATGTCTGACAGCAAGAACAAGGTTTTGGAGGTAAAAAAAGGCTGTTTTTTTTTAAAGCTTAATTCGAACATTAAGATAATTTAAAGATAAATTTACATATTAATTGCAAGTGTGTTATTACATTTTTTTTCACCCTCATTATGCAAATGTTTTAGATTGGATGTTAAATACATGCTTGTGTATATATACAGGGGTCTGTCCAGGCCAAATTTACTACCATTTAGCGGTACCTTCACAAATTCAACTTTAGGAAAAACGATAGTTTCACAAAATACTTTTTCTTAAAATTTTATTTTTGTATCCCTTAAGAAACGATAAATCTACATTTTCGTGTTGATTTTTTAATATTCACAAATTATGTCTAAATTTTCACAATATAGGAACCTCTCGGAAAAACCTAGACAGACCCCTGATATAAAACAGATCTAGATTAGACTTATATACAGGGGTCTATCCAGGGCAAATTATAAATTTACAGGGAAGGAAATTTAACCCTGTAAATTTTAAGGAACCCTGTAAATTTTAAGGAAATTTACAGGGTTCCCACTCTATTTCAGAAAAAAAATTTCCCTGAGTTTTTCAGGTAAATTTCAATAAAAATTGAGACCATATTTTCCTTAGGAAAATTTAATTCTATTATTTGTAATGTGAAATATTAGATTTTCTGTGTAAAATAATATTAAACGAGGAAAAGAACATTTTTGTTTGACTGAAATGAGAACCTCTTACAACAAATAGTTGTAATAGATATTAGAATTATTTAACTAGAATCACAATAACTGATTACTGTTACTGACAATTTTAAGACTGTTTATTTTCCAGGTATGATATAGGAATATTCCAGGCTTTTGTAAAAAAAATTGCATCTTTCCCTGACTTTTGAGGTTAAAATAATATTTCCTGACAATTCCAGGTTTTCCCTGACCCGTGGGAACCCTGATTTACTACCATTGAGCGGCACCTTAACAAATTCAACTTAAGGAAAATACTTTTAAACAATTTTAAGCCCAAAATTTTACAATAGCAATTTGTTTTAGAAACATAAGAGATTTACTAGTTCTAAATGATATTTATTTGTTGTGACAATATCTGAATATATTTTCTTATCTTACCACATTTATGCGTTGATATTTCAATAAAATTTTTAATTTTCACAATATAGGTACTGCTTACATAAACCTAGACTGACCAATGATATATATATATAAATGTATGGAGCGACAATAGCTGTTTTATGCTGTGGAGAGAAGAATACTCTCGTGGTCTCGAAGTTTTATGATGCTTAAGTTATATTTTTTTTCTTGCTTAATAAAAGTTTATTGTAAATTCAAAGATGACTTTATTACGCTTGCTTAACATTTTCCACTACGCACTCCACTTTTCCAGCAAGAACAATTCACTTTTTTCATAGAGATCACACCCATACTTTCAAGTATTAATAGAATCGATTAGATATATACAACGTCTACCTTACGCTTAGCGAAATATTTAACTAACAATGCTTTCATAAAAAGTGAAAAGTAACACCAATTGTCAAAGGAATAAAAAGAAAGCTTAGACCAGCTAACTTTTATCACTGATCCTACTAGTAGTCGAAAACAACAAACTACAACGACAACCTGTAACATTTTCGCTTTTATCACCTCCAGTTTTTAAAATCTGAGACATCATTAATCATTCTGACAATTAGATGAGTACATATCATAATGAGCCAGATAAGTAACTTACCTTTACATTCAAAAATTTGCAAACTTCAAAAATACTATACTATAATTGTAAACAGCATACAATACTTTTCGCTTTCGCGCAACCGCTTTTTTAAACTTTAATAATAAAAAAAAAATTAAAGAATTACTGTTGATGCCAAAACTATGTAAAAAATAGTCGATACAAATATAAATCGGTAGCCGAGAAGCCAACGTCACGCTCCAAAGGATGATGTTTTCTACACTAGGCGCGCTGCAAGCTTTTGACTGCCTGTATTTCCGGATAATTGTTTATGGTGTGTTTTGAGGCCATTTGGCTCACATAGTGATCATTGTATTTTGAGACTCTCTTGACTAATATATCTTGTGTACGGGCATTTATTACTTGATACATTATTTGTGTATCAAGTATTTAGGGAGAAGAATAGTTGTAAGTATCGTCATTTGAAGACCAGTATTTTCAATAAGTAAAAATTGTCATTTGAAAAAGAATCGTTATTCAACACTTCTTACCTTGTTAACAATATACTAACTTAGAAATTTAAACCTAAATGATAGTTTGTAAAATGAACTTAATCTCGCAACTCGAACAATATGCAAACACTAACGTATGATGGTGCATCCAGAACAAACAGTAATAAACAAATGAAAAGAGGCCAAATCAGAAATTCCAAAAAAGCGAGTTCTTTCCATATCTAGCAACTAGGTCACTTTTTTTTAACAATACATCTCTAAATCAAAAAACTATACTCAGTGGCGCGACAGCCCATCGAGGGCCAAGTCCTACTGTGCCCATCTCTGTTTTCTTGACCTTGGGCTCTGGAGTGCAGGAGCAGATGTTCCAGTTAGGTGGTCGGCCAAACACGGAACCTCCAGTGTTTAGTTCCCAAGCATGCTTGGCACTCATTCATCGACCCACTGAAGGGATGAAAGGCTGAGTCAATCTTGCCCTGTCCAAGGATTGAACCCAGGATCTGCGGCACGGGAGCTCGAATTGCTACCACTGAGCCACTGGGAGCCATATCTCTAAACAACTATAACAAATTTTCCCTTCGCATCAGAATTACTTAATATCATTAATATCTTAAGAAATACAGTAGATTTGAGTTTTGAAGTCACATAATTTATTTCTTATATAAGAAACAAAATTATCAGTTTGAAAATATCGCCTTGCAGAATATACAACAGCTGCATACTTTGTTACCGGAAGTAGAGCAAGTCAAGAGCTGGAGATTGTTGATGTTTACATTCATATTGAAAACACTGTGCATATTAAATAGAAATAAATAAACAAAGTGTATATATTTTCTTCTACAACTCCCCAGAAATAGACGTCAGTAAATAAATTACGACACTTCAGAATCGCTTGTTTCAACTGACCAGTTTTGCTCCCCAAAATAACTTACATGTGTGATAAGTTAGTTGTGAATTTTTAAATTTAAGCAATTTTCCAAGAGTTCTTTAATTAATGAAACGATTTTTATAACAGTAAAGAATAATATATCTCAGAAAGAAAAAATAGGTTTATTTTCACTCAGCAAAAACCCTTTAATGTATAAACCTAAAAAGGTTTGTAAGCAAGTTTACGTGTAAACATTCTAACTTTAAAACGAGATCTGTAACATGCTGCTCTATATTACGCTCATTACCCTAATCCAGAAACTTGGAAAACAACCGTCCATAAGAAAACATTTAATCGAGGTTGACTCAGGGTTTTCAAGCGGGAAAACACCATAACTTTTAAAAAACACGATAAAAACATTTTATATTTTAATAAACTATGGACTGGAAAAATTATGGATAATAAATTATGGAATAAATTATGAATACTTTAATATATCGAAAAACACAATTAAAAAATAATATAATGTAAAATAATCAAAAGAAGAAAAAAATTAAAAAATTGACCGCAGCCGAGATTCGAACCCACGCCCCCTTGCTCTAGACATAAGTCACCAGCAGATGGTTTTAGCCGTTGTACCACTCTTATACTGGGAGCGTGCTACTACATAGCTTCAAGTACACTCTAGCGGTTAGCTAAACAAATGACTTAAGAGACAACTGCGGCCACCCTAATTTATCTATAAAAATTTCCCTTAGTAGTGTGGTTCTACTCATAGAGGCCTACTTTCGATTCGAGTTTTAAAATTACAGCTTAATATTAATGGGAGTTAGTCGGTCTTGAAATTTCAACCTTTTTCCCGCAATTTTCCTTTATTTTATTTTTTATTTCATTCTGCGTTATTTTACAAATAAAGACAATTGATTTCATACATAGAACACCTTTCGTATGCTGAACTATCGTGAAAATATTGTAAAAGGAGTTTAAAAAAATAATATAATATTAATAAACTTATTATCAGGGATTTTTCCAGTTTTTAAGCATAATTTCAAATTTCCCGAATAAAAAAATATTTTTTTATATATAGAATGCTTTAATGTATCGAAAAGCACATTAAATAAATAATATAACGTAAAATAAACAAAATAAAAAATTTTATTATTCGTTCACAACCGGGGGTTCGAACACGCGGCCCCTCGCTCCAGACGTAAGCCACTATCGCATGGTCTTAGCCGTTGTACCACTCTTATACTGCGAGCGTGCTACTACATAGCTTCAAGTACCCTCTAGCGGTTAGCTGAAAAAATAACTTAAGGGGCAAATGCTTCCCCCTAATTTATGTATAAAAATTTCCCTAGGCAGGGTGGTTCGACTCATAGAGGCCTACTTTCGGTCCGAGGTTGAAAATTATAGCTTAATATTAAAGGGAGTTAGATAGACTTGAAAACTGAACCTTCTTCAGGCCATTTTATTTTATTTTTTATTCCATTATGCGTTCTTTCACCAAGAAAGACACCGAGTAAAAAAAATTATTTTTTACATATAGGATCCTTTAATATATCAAAAACACATTAAATAAATAATATAATGTAAAAAAAAAAGAAAAGAAAAAAATATAGAAAATTTAAAAAATTGACCTCCGCCGGGGTTCGAACCTTCACCCCTTCGCTTAAGGCGTAAATCACTTGCACGTGGTCTTAGCCGTTGAACCACGTTTATACGGTGATCAGGCTACTACATATATTAAAGTACCTTCGCCCGGTAAGCCAAGCAAGAGACTTAAGGGGCGTTTGCAGCCCCCCTAATAGGTCTATAAAAAATTTTCTTTGTAGAGTGGTTCGCTTCATAGCGGCCAACTTTCCGTCCGAGTTTGAAAATTATAACTTAATATTAGAGGGAGTTAGATAGACTAGAAAATTGAACCTTTTCCCCGCCATTTAATTTTATTTTTTATTCCATTATGCGTTATTTCACCAAGAAAGACTACGAATAAAAAAAAATTATTTTTTACATATAGGATCCCTTAATAAATCAAAAACAAATTAAATAAATAATATAATGTAAAAAAAAGGAAAAGAAAAAAATATGAAAAATTTTAAAAATTGACCTCCGCCGGGGATCGAACCAGCTCCCCCTCGCTTAAGGCGTAAGTCACTTGCACGTGGTCTTAGCCGTTGAACCACGTATATACGGTGATCGGGCTACTACATAGATTAAAGTACCTTCTCCCGGTTAGCTAAACAAAAGACTTAAGGGGCGTTTGCAGCCCCCCTAATAGGTCTATAAAAAACATTCTTAGTAGAGTGGTTCGGCTCATAGAGGCCAACTTTCCGTCCGAATTCAAAAATTATAACTTAATATTAGAGGGAGTTAGATAGACTTGAAAATTGAACCTTTTTCACGCCATTTTTTTTAATTTTTTACTCCATTATGCGATCTTTCACCAAGAAAGACACTAGATTTTAAGCATGGAACACATTTCGAATGCTAAACTATTGTGAAAATATTGTAAAAAGAGTTTAAAAAAATAATATAATAAAAATAAACTAATTTTCATGGATTTTTCCAGTTTTTAAGCATTATTTGAAATTTCCCGAAAAAAAAAATTATTTTTTACATATAGGATCCTTTAATATATCAAAAACACATTAAGTAAATAATATAATGTAAAAAAAAAAAAGAAAAAAAAAAATATAAAAAATTTTAAAAATTGACTTCGGGTTCGAACCAGCACCCCCTCGCTTAAGGCGTAAGTCGCTTGCACGTGGTCTTAGCCGCTGAACCACGTTTATACGGTGATCGGGCTACTACATAGATTAAAGTACCTTCTCCCGGTTTGCTAAACAAAAGACTTAAGGGGCGTTTGCAGCCCCCCTAATAGGTCTATAAAAAATTTTCTTAGTAGGGAGGTTCGGCTCATAGAGGCATACTTTCCGTCCGAGTTTGAAAATTATAACTTAATATTAGAGGGAGTTAGATAGACTTGAAAATTGAACCTTTTTCCCGCCATTTTATTTTATTTTTTATTCCATTATGCGTTCTTTCACCAAGAAAGACACTTGATTTTAAGCATGGAACACATTTCGAATGCTAAACTATCGTGAAAATATTGTAAAAAGAGTTTAAAAAA